GCCGTTGCAGGATCCTGCTCTGTCCCTATCTTTGCTGATGTAACTACAGCAATTTTACAATTTGTCCCACATCTATCTCAGTCTATACAGAATTTTATGGGAGGAGAAACTCTTTCCTTCACGTTCACCTCTCCCACAAATCTCATTCCAGCTTCAGAAGAGGACGCTTACGTATTAGCACACAAAATTGCTGACTGCCTAGTAAGAGACTCCCAAGCAGGGTTATGGCTCAGCATTATTCACCAGCATCTTCATTTAGCATCATCACCCTTTCCAGTGCTGCTCTAACATACGCTGTTTAACACAGCACGTGTTACCTGCAGTGGGTTGGTCTAGTTTTCCATATCACAGCCACAACTGTATCTGAGTATCTAATCATGGAGGAAGACCATGACTCTGAATATGGGGTTGAGATAGACTGGACCTATTATTTATACTCTGGTAACACTAAATAGTCGTAGCCAGGGTCAAGCTCTTCTTCCAGCAAATACAGTACAAACTCATTTTGAAGCCATCTTGACCTCTGGACTATCTTCGAAGCAACCAAGTGCAAAGCAGGAAGAAAAAGAAGGTTGGGAACAGCCTACAGACCTTGCATCGAGCAACAGGCTAAACAGCAGCAGAAAGGAGGAGAACATCACGTGAGGATGCTCGGGAATAACGCTAGACTGCATCCCGCTCTGATGTCCCTTCCCGAGGGACTGCAGTCTGCATGCTTTGGGAGATGCAGGGGGAATATTCTGCTGGCACAGGAGAGCGCAGGGGCAGTATCCATCTCAAGACCTGGATAAAGCCTGCCGAGCAGCTTTTCCCTGCAGTGTCCAAGGTGACAAACGTGAAAGCCGACAACTAATGAACGACCTTGCCCCTCTCCAGGCTCAAGCCTCTCCTGCAACAGTTTTCAGAAAGAAAAGTCTCCTACAGAATTTATTCTCTGCCTCTCTCCCTCTCTCACAAAAAACCAACTCGCCCACATTCATGTCCAGCAGCACAACCCAGGAGCTGGACCTCAGCTCCGACCCCACGTGGGAACAACTTACGCTGAACTCCACAACTTGGGTGCGAGCTTGGAGCAAAGATGACTACGAAAGCAAATCTCATTACTTGCACCTATTACCTGGTTTGATGCAATTCTCTCCCGATGAAGTCACTTTCTGGAGGAAAGGTTTTTTCCCCAGGAAAACCACAACAGAAAGCCTCATTTCTGGATATGCTTTGGCTTTTTGACTCAGCAGTAAATATGTTACCATACTATAGCCAAGAAAGAAAGATGATGCTCCTGTTAGGACATTTTCAAAGTCTTTCCTCCAGAGTTACCTGCGTGCCCAACATGTAGCATCACCAAATAAACTTGTTCAACTTAATAGGAGGGACTGGTATCTGATGCCGCTTGGCTCGTCTCTTCCAGTGGAATTCAGGAGTCAGAATTGAAAGTAAGCCGGAGCGAGTGCCAAGATCCTCACCATCCGCCTTAGACTAACATCTCAATTACAGCCCGTACGAGTTTCACCGAAGAGACTATTAGAGGCGAGCAGCCCACAAAACAGTCGGCGTTTCAATCGAATTTACTCCCACGTACTGATAGCGCGCAGTTGCTGGGATGAAAGAGGAAGAAGCCGTACGGCTCGCAGAGGAAAGCCTGCTGAGAAGAGGCAGCAGGCAGCCGGCCTGTGGCTCCCAGCCCAGATCAGGCAGGAAGGCTGCCCAGAGCGACGCCGAATACGATAGCCGCTCCCGGTGCTGCGCTGCTGGGTGGGTGAGCGATGTACTTGACCCTGAGAAAGGGGGAGGCTTTCTCCTCACTTTCACTCTTACAGCTGGGTAATTTTCACTTCCCGTCTGGTGCTGGATCTGGCGCTTGTTGGAGCTCTCCATGTGCCAACTCAACTCCTTAAATCAACAGGGGGGAAGAAAAAAAAAAAAAAAAAAAGTAGTTTGCTGCTGGGTCAGCAAGTCCAACCAGCCCATGGCGGGGTTTGAATGACTGCAGGAGCTGACCCACGGCGAACAGAGGAGGGAAGGAGAGGAAAAGGCTGGCTGCTTCGGGGTGCTGCGCCATGAGAGCAGCTCGCGGCACTTTGTGTGAGTTCATCCTCAGCCCAGCACAACTACCCAGTCCACGCCGCAGGCAAACCTAACGCGCTTCGGCACGGAGAGCGGCTGGCAAGAGAGTCATACGCTACCAAAGCACACGCGTGAATCCCGGCCGTCTTTTTCCCCCAAATTCCGATTTTTAGGAAACATTTCAAATCTTTGAGAATTAAACTCCCTAATTAGGTAAGCCTAAGCCACAAGGTTTAAAAAATAAATAAATTACAGAGGGAGTAAAAGAGACTGACAAGAAGGACTGATCAAAAGCAGCTTAATCTCTTTCCAGAGTCTCGAGGAGCAGCATCCTGCATCACCAGGGCACGAGCAAGGTCTGCAGAGCTTCGCTATTTCCGAAGCCCATTTTAACCTTAAAATAACTAAATGCTTTATTTTCCAGAACGAACACGCTAATGCATATTTGGCTGGAATTTAATTACAGCAATCAAGCGGAGAACTGAAGCTGAACGTGGCTTTGGCAATGAGAGGAGGAACAAAAGCAGATCCAGCTGGCAACGCAAACCGCAGCGTAGGTCAGCCAGCTCCCGACCGCACGCGCTCCGGCTCCCAAATAAACCCCATTTGAAGCACGTCACCGAATTCGACGAGAATTTGGAGGGGGGGGAAAAAGCGGAGGCACGGCTCAAGTTTTCCTCCTCACGTATTATGCAAATGATGCCGAAGCATTCCTGATCTTAGAGGGAAAAATAAGCTTCCTGGAGAAAGCGCTTCCTTCCTTCCCCCTCCCCGTGGGGCTCGGCTCCCACAGGTAACGCAAACCTTATCACCCACGGTCACCAGTGACGTCAGCCTGGCTCCAGGGCTACTGTTTTGGCCGGCAGTTACAGCTCAATTTTCTGAAAGAGGAAAGTCCACCGATGATTTAAGAGTCTTTCTGTTTCTTGCAGGAAAGCAAGCATTGCGTCAGCAGCCCCGGCGTGAGTTTTCCTTCGGTGTCAGTGGAATTTTCCAGAGGAAGCGGACTCGAGGAAGGACTGGAGCCATGCGCCAAAGCAGTTGTGAAGGGACCTGCAATCGCTGCAAAACAAACTCCAGCAGCGTGCATGCAAAACAAACTCCAGCAGCGTGCATGCACACTGGAAGATTTTTCCCATCTCGGCACAATAAAGTCACTCGTGCGGCTGGAGAGGGATGACAGCTCCTGAGAGCCACCTATGTACAGCTACGACGGGAAATGCTGAACCTTGGAACCGGTGCTAATTGATCTTGGTGAAATATTAGCAAAGGATATGCTTTTCTCAAGATGTTTCGATCTAAGGCAGAGTTATCAGTCCCTTAAAAAAAAAAAAAAAAAAAAAAAAAAAGAGATTTCTTCAAA